GTTATTCGTAAATTAATAAGCTTCATTACGGGTGAGAAAAAGAACATTCATGTTGTATTGTTACATGTCCTAAGTGGATGGTTCGTAAATGTTTTATGCAATAAATACTTAATTTAAATTTTGAATCTAAATATTTAATATTTTTTGCTTAACAATGGAACAAACAGGAACAAGCAATGAATAATTATTCGATGTGACTGATTAAATTGGACCGTTACTGACTGAAAAGTTAAAGTTAAATCTCCTTTACTAAGCGCTGATGATATACTAATTAGCATATAATAAAAATTATGTTAAATTTTTGAAATCAATTTTCTCTAAGGCTATAGATCTGTAACTCTATATTCCAACGATTTCAGCCCTTTATGTCCTTCCATCAGATTCAGCATGTGAGAACTTTTGACTTTAAATTAATCATTGTTTAAAGACATTGAATCATTTTGAATGAAAATCGCGACCTGCTTTATACTTTATGAAGTGATGATAATTAATCTTCAATCTGATTATAAGCTTCAATTTAGTACACTTTAAGCTTTTGTTTGATTTATGACAAGATTTAACTCTTCAAAATTAAGCAAACGATTTTAATTTAATTAAAGAGTTTGAAAAATTCATAAGCTGAATTCAACTTTCGACATGTTTTTCCCGAAAAAAGTTCTGCAATTCCTAAATGACACCCACAAAATCTGCTTCATTTTATAAATTTCTTCATCAGCAAACACAAAAAAAAATGACGAAGCAGCATTTGAAAAAATCTTCTTTTTTTGAATTCTTCAAATTCAAAACATTGAAAAAAATATTTTAAATGAAGAAAATCTTGGAATGAAGGAGGAAGAAGACATAAAACCAGATGAAATGTAAGATGACTCCATATTAAAGGACAAAGGAAACAACACAGGATTACAGAGTTAAATGGCAATGAGGTTTACGATGACGATTTACGAAGAAAAAGTGAACTTAAAAGAGCAAACAAGCATGTATGAGACCATGAACGAATGAAAGGAATCAAGCTCAAAGTAAGTAATTGCTACTTTAATTCTTTATGAAACTGCTTCACCACTATGATCCTTGCGTAATCTTGAGAATACTACATCTCACTTTTATATTTTCTTCTTTTAACACGAAAAGTGGAACTGCTGAAAAATCTGATTTGAATTGCTTTTCAGACTTTCTCTCACTTTTTCTCCTTGATAACCGTTCTTTTCAATTTAATTTTTTCCAGTTCAGCACCAATTTTAAACTTTACGCTTGAACTTGAAAAACTTACATTTGGAGAAAAAATGCAGCATAAGCAAAAGTTTGGAAGTTAAAAATTGACCAACGAATTGAAACTCTTCAAATGTTAATGGAGCATTTTAAATGATGAAGATGAAGACAGCTCAATTCCAAGCAATTGATGATGAAGATAATAAAGGAAGTGAATTCAGCGACAATTGTCAAGAGTCAATGGAACAACTTCACGTTGATAATAAATACAGTTTAGAAGATGAGGATGAAGTCAGCTCAATAGCAAGCTAGCTCAAAAACAAACAGATTTGATGAAAATATCAAACCAATCAAGACAAAAAACGTGCAAAATTATCCATATCGCAAAGATTATATCCAATTTTATCAGATCAACGGCAGATTCACAAGTTCTAAGAAGAATGCCTATAAAAATGAAGAACCAGATAAGGAATATGGCTGTGCAAATAAAACTGCAAAGCTAAAAGGATCTTCCATGGACCTTCAATGAAATTGAAGAATGGACAACATTTTGAAAGGATCGTGAAACATTTCAGGAAACAGACTCATGTGTGAACAAGGAAACAAGCTCAAATTAAGTAATTGCTACTTTAATTCTCTATGAAAATGCATCACCACTATGATCCGTCTGTAATCTTGAGAATACTCCATCTCACTTTTATATTTTCTATTAATTGCTTCTTAGACTTTCTCTCACTTTTTCTCCTTGATAACCGGTCTTTTTAATTTAATTTTTTCCAGTCCAGCGCCAATTTCAAGCTATTTTTTGATACAGGAATTTTCACATCGACTGACTAGCTGGTCATTAAGCAAGACGAATCACCAGCTTCAAGTTCTTCATCCGCCATGTCTGCAAGAAATCGATTTTTAACTCATCATTTACGACAACAAAAAGTAAGTCAACACGAGATTTTAACTTAAATAATTTTTTTTCTTCCATTTTTAGAATATTTACAATATCAAAAATAGGAATCGCTTCAAAGTCCTGTCCAAAATATTTTTCAAGAGTTGGAAAACTTACATTTTGGAGAGAAAATGCTGCAAAAAGGTTTCTGATCTTAATCGGGCAACAAAAGCAACACAAGCCAATTAGATGTAGCCATAATGTTAAGTTCATGAAGAAGAGGCTGCATATAAACCAATTTCATGACTTGAACAAAATAAGCAGCTGGAAGTAAGCTATAGATTGAGTCTTATTTGCCCAAATATTAACAAAGGTCCATCACATAGCAATTAAACCTACAACTACAAGCTGGAAATTTTCAAAACAGGAATTCTCACACTATCTGAATTGATAGTCATTGAACAAGATAAATAGCCAGCTTCAAGTTCTTCAATCGCCCTGTCTGCAAGAAATTGTTTTTAAACTCATCATTTACGACAACAAAAAGTAAGTCAATACGAAACTTTAACATAAATATTTTTTTTTCTTCCATTTTTAGGATATTTTCATTATTAAAAATAGGAATCGCCCCACCGTCCTGCCCAAAATTTTTTCGGCACTTGGAAAACTTAAATTTTGAAGAAAAATGCTGCAAAAAGGTTTCTGATCTTAATTGGATGACAAAAGCAACACAAGCCAATTAGATGTAGCCATAATGTTAAGTTCATGAAGAAGAGGCTGCATATAAACCAATTTCATGACTTGAACAAAATAAGCAGCTGGAAGTAAGCTATAGATTGAGTCTTATTTACCCAAATATTGACAAAGGTCCATCACATAGCAATTAAACCTACAACTACAAACTGGAAACTTTCGAAACAGAAATTCTCACACTATCTGGATTGATAGTCATTGAACAAGATGAATAGCCAGCTGCGAGTTCTTCAATCGTCCTGTCTGCAAGAAATTGTTTTTAAACTCATCATTTACGACAACAAAAAGTAAGTCAATACGAAACTTTAACATAAATATTTTTTTTTCTTCCATTTTTAGGATATTTTTATTTTTAAAAATAGGAATCGCCCCACCGTCCTGCCCAAAATTTTTTTCGGCACTTGAAAAACTTAAATTTTGAAGAAAAATGCTGCAAAAAGGTTTCTGATCTTAATTGGATGACAAAAGCAACACAAGCCAATTAGATGTAGCCATAATATTAAGTTCATGAAGAAGAGGCTGCATATAAACCAATTTCATGACTTGAACAAAATAAGCAGCTGGAAGTAAGCTATAGATTGAGTCTTATTTGCCCAAATATTAACAAAGGTCCATCACATAGCAATTAAACCTACAACTACAAGCTGGAAATTTTCGAAACAGGAATTCTCACACTATCTGGATTGATAGTCATTGAACAAGATGAATAACCAGCTTCAAGTTCTTCAATCGCCCTGTCTGCAAGAAATTGTTTTTAAACTCATCATTTACGACAACAGAAAGTAAGTCAATACAAAACTTTAACATAAATATTTTTTTTTCTTCCATTTTTAGGATATTTTCATTATTAAAAATAGGAATCGCCCCACCGTCCTGCCCAAAATTTTTTTCGGCACTTGGAAAACTTAAATTTTGAAGAAAAATGCTGCAAAAAGGTTTCTGATCTTAATTGGATGACAAAAGCAACACAAGCCAATTAGATGTAGCCATAATGTTAAGTTCATGAAGAAGAGGCTGCATATAAACCAATTTCATGACTTGAACAAAATAAGCAGCTGGAAGTAAGCTATAGATTGAGTCTTATTTGCCCAAATATTGACAAAGGTCCATCACATAGCAATTAAACCTACAACTACAAGCTGGAAACTTTCGAAACAGGAATTCTCACACTATCTGGATTGATAGTCATTGAACAAGATGAATAGCCAGCTGCGAGTTCTTCAATCGCCCTGTCTGCAAGAAATTGTTTTTAAACTCATCATTTACGACAACAAAAAGTAAGTCAATACGAAACTTTAATATAAATATTTTTTTTTCTTCCATTTTTAGGATATTTTCATTATTAAAAATAGGAATCGCCCCACCGTCCTGCCCAAAATTTTTTTCGGCACTTGAAAAACTTAAATTTTGAAGAAAAATGCTGCAAAAAGGTTTCTGATCTTAATTGGATGACAAAAGCAACACAAGCCAATTAGATGTAGCCATAATGTTAAGTTCATGAAGAAGAGGCTGCATATAAACCAATTTCATGACTTGAACAAAATAAGCAGCTGGAAGTAAGCTATAGATTGAGTCTTATTTGCCCAAATATTAACAAAGATCCATCACATAGCAATTAAACCTACAAAAACAAGCTGGAAATTTTCGAAACAGGAATTCTCACACTATCTGGATTGATAGTCATTGAACAAGATGAATAGCCAGCTTCAAGTTCTTCAATCGCCCTGTCTGCAAGAAATTGTTTTTAAACTCATCATTTACGACAACAAAAAGTAAGTCAATACGAAACTTTAACATAAATATTTTTTTTTCTTCCATTTTTAGGATATTTTCATTAATAAAAATAGGAATCGCCCCACCGTCCTGCCCAAACCCTATTAACTGATCCTTCGAAATTGAACTCAGGCAAGGAATTGTACATTAAGGTTTTTTCTAATAAGGAAGATGGTACCAAAAAATTCATCGAAAATTAATTTTTTTTTTCATTTCAATCGACTTATTGTCGAGTTTATTAAGACATACTGTCTGTAAAATTATTAAGTGAGTGTAAATGAGTAAGCACTAAATGAAAAGAAAAAGAAGCAAAATAGAGCCTAGCTTCACCAAAAAAAAAATAATAAAAAATGGCAATAGATGTCGAAGCAGGTAAATCCATAAATTAAGATGCTCGGGGACCGAGTCTGTTCAATAGAGAGTTGACATCTCTCCCATTAGTGAATAGGTCGTTTGATATGACATTGTTATTCAGTATGTAGCTTGATGATTCAGCGTTATGGTTTCTAAAGCATTGAGCCCATACATCCCGATGAGCCAAGATTTGAGATTCTAAAAGGGTCTCAATTTCAGTGTTTCCATAGTACTGCAGTACTGAATAAACTTCACTTTCCGCTTCTTCGTTAGTGATCCTCAAAATTATATTTTTGTCGATGATTCTTGGTGTTGATAGGTACTTAAGTGTAATTCCGTTGATGCTTGATAGTTTATCACTGACTTTGAGCTCCTGAAGGAATTCGACAAGTAAGACTGAAGGTAGGAATTTGTGATACTTTTGATTCAGCGTAGACTTAATGCAGACAGGAAGACGATCAGCTTTTTCAACTGGAGAATCAATTGGCAAGTTGGTGAATGCACATTTGAGTGGTCCTTGAATAATGTTCACTCGACAATTGGAGTCTTTTATCCTCAAATTTCCATTTTGCCTGGAAAGAATCCTTAAGAAATCAAAGATTTCATGTTGGTTAATGACTGAAATTATAAATGATTGTAAATTATTTCCAGTTTCAATTGATATTCGCTGTACTATAGAAGTTAGGAAGTTAATCTTCTTCTGACGGAGCTCGTTCACAACATCCAGTAAGTCAAGTCCCAATCCAGCTCTTGAAATTTCAAAATAGGTTTCCCTGTTGAGGTCGTTCGTTTTTGTCAATTGCTTGATTATAAATGAAACGTCTTCTTGTGAATATAAATTTGAACTTTCCATAATGATAGCTTTAGATTACACTTTGAATGATACTTATTTGTTGTTAATTCAATACTTATTTGTTGATATTAAGAAGTGGGGATTTTCAACAGCTAATGTGGGCAATCTCATGCACGACCCCTCTAGTTTAAATTATTTTATTTTTAACGTTCATTTGTTGTTGTGAAATTAAAGTATCAGTTTTTTTCAGCAGGAATTGTTTTGTTTCGATTTTAAAGGCGTTGAGGCTGTTTATTGACTTCAATTTTAGTGGTAAGCTGTTGTAGATGGATGAGCCAAGTACTGTAAGATCATATCTCATAATGTTGGATTTGCATTCACTAATTTTGATATTTTTTAGCCGATCGGATCTTAGTTCCTCAAATTGTACTAGTGTTTCATCATTTGCTAAGAGCGATTTCTTTACCGTGACAAGACATGAGTAAAAGAGAAGTCCCATAACAGGTAAAACTCTAGTCGTGACCTCTTTATAAAGTTTTGATGTTGGATAGATCATCGGCAAGCCAAATATCATTTTCACGCAACGGTTCTGCAAGACTTGAAGACCTTTTATTGACTGTGAAGGAGCTCTAAGTAGTAGAAAGGCACAATAAGATAGATGAGATTGGAAATGTGCATGGAAAAAGTTCATGAGCAGATCGGTCGTAAGTCTATTCCTTAAAATTGATATGGCTCCAGTTGTTTGTGCTAGTTTCGATCTAATTTGATCACTATACTTATCGAAGCTTAAAGCTGGATCTACCGGAACTCCCAGATAGACTAGATTCTCGGCTCTAATCATATTCTTGGATGACAAGAGTTTCAGGATGTTCTGATCAGGATTTTCTGTTCCTAGTATGATGAATTTTGACTTTGATAGATTTAATTTTAGTTTATTTGAGTCATAATAATTGCTGAGTACTTTAAGATCAGAATCCATATTCAGAATTACTTGATTTACATCCTCATGTCCAATATCCCAGATTAATATTGAATCGTCCGCAAAACGGTAATTTTGGCATGTCAGTTTTAAGTCTTTTATATCATTAATATAAATATTGAATAATGTAGGTCCAACACAAGAACCCTGAGTGATACCGCCCGATATTTTAGCTTCCCTGCTAAACGATTCATTTATTTGGACAACTTGTGTACGATCTGCTAAAAAGCTTCTAATAAGTTCTAAAGCTTCAAGAGAAAATCCCAATTTAGCAAGTTTCTGTAGCAAAATTTGATGGTTTACAGAATCGAATGCCTTTGAGAGATCCAGTGATAGTAGTAGTACACAGGAATTACAATCAACTATTTTTGAGATTTCATGGATCACTTTGGCTATTACTTCTTGACACCCTTTATTCTTTTTGAATCCATATTGTTGATTATCCCAATAATGATTGACTGTCATATACTCATCTATTTGATTTGTTATTTCAGATTCGAATACTTTGCTGAGAGAGACTGGAACAGATACGGGTCTGTAATTTTCACACTTTAAGCTGGAACCATTTTTATGGATTGGATGCACTATGGACTTTTTTAAAAGAGATGGATACTTTGATTCAGTTATCATTGCGACAAAAATTTCATGGACTGGCGTACTCATCGTTTCATTTAATCGATTCCAAATAAACGGTGATACGTTGTCGTAACCTGAAGCTTTGCTAATGTCAAGTTGTTTTAGCAAGTTTTGAAAAGTGAGCTCACTAGTATTGTCGAATCGAAATGAAGTAGGTACTTCTGATGGTAAATATATAGGTTGAGTACTAGAGGCGTTAACATTTACAATTGATAAAAAGTATTCCTGAAATTCGTTTGCAATTTCCGTGTCATTCGTGATTCTTTTAGTTTGGGTTTCCAAAACTATATTGCTTCCTTTTTTTTCGCATCCGGTGTTTTCATTTAAGATTTTCCAACCAGATTTAATATCGAGAACTGAAATGTCACTGTAGAAAGCCTTTGTGCGGTCAATAGCATAATCCTCTTTGATCCTCAATAATTCAGTTTTTTTACTTTCTAGAAGATTTGTAGGACGACTGGATGACTTTAATTTGTGAATTTTTTCGCTTAGATTGTGAAGTGATTTGCACATTGAGATATAAATTTTGTTGCACCATGGAGGAAGGACTTCATTTTGATTTCGGGTTTTAACACTGAAAGTAGATGAACTATCTTCATGAGCTTTCCAAACCAGCTCGAGCAATTGGGATACTTTAAGATTGATTCCACTGAATTGGTAATAGAAATTATTCATTTTAAGGCTGATTGTTTTAATGACTCTTTCTTTGTTAGTTCTCTTAATAGAAATATTCGACAATGTTCCTGCATGTCCTGAAGATCCGGGGAGAATCATTAATAATAAATTGTGGTCGGAGCAGCCATCAGTTAGGATGTTATTGGACGTGAATACTTTAATCACATTGTTGTTGAGGCCTATGATATGGTCGATTATGGAATGATTTTGTGTGATGTTGTTGAATCGGGTGATTGTATTGTTTTTAATTGACATTCCATATGAATCGATTAATTCCATGTATTTCTTACTTGTAGGAGATTGGTTCGAGGAGTTTGAGAGGATATTAATATTTATGTCCCCTAATATAATGATTTCTTTGGACTGGTTTGAGGAGAGTTTAGTCTCCATCATCGAAAGAAAGGCATTTATATTTCCATTTGGCGGACGATACACTATTAAAAATTCATTGGATTCGGTTTCTTTGGTGGTAAGTTCTAGTAAGATGATTTCAAAATCATTTGTGATCGCCGTGTGTTTAACAGTTGATGAACAAGAGTCGTGGATGTAGAGGGCAATTCCTCCACCTTTTCGGTTGGTTCTTAATGATGTGTACAGTTTGTAATTTTTTAAATTATAGCAGTTGAATTTTGATGCTTTTTTACCGAATTCAATTAAGGCGATCATGTCTAAATGTTGGCATTTTCTTGAATTCGATTTGTTTCTCACCTCACCAATAGAAAGTTCATTGATAATTGATTTGAGTTTGTTAAATTTGTTATCAGTGATAGTGTTGATGTTCCATAAAACAGCTGTGAAAGGGGATGACTTTTTAGAGGAGTTATCCATGAGATTTGATTCCATTGCCATTTTTAGTTCATTAAGACTAAGGTTTTTTCCTTGGTAAAAATTGCTGTTTATTTCCTTTATTTCGTCATTAAATTTGAAACTTTCATTGATACTTTCATGTGTGTTAGAACTTTGATGATAAGGTGAGAGTGTAGTATGTCAGTCGTCGATCGACGGTTCAATCTGCATATGACTCTCATTAAACTCTAGTTGTTCCTGATTTGTAATTAAACGTAACTCTTTTCTTTGGTTTATAGGTGTCTTGAAGTATTCTGTGCTATAAACTTGAGCTGCAGGTAATTGCCAGTTAAAGTCGAGAATGGTTTTACGGAGAACGTCAAGTGCTAGCATATTATTGACTTTAACTGTAACGAGTTTCTTTGCATCCGGATCTACGACTGTTTCGTTAGGATCTATAGGTTCACATTCCATTTCATATTGAACTTTTATCCCTTCGTCGGTGACGAATGCATTTTTAACGAAGCTATTATCCTTAAGTTCAAAACATATTCTCAGGACATTCCAAACATTATCTGACCAGCTTACTGTTGTGAAATACCGGATCATATCTTGTTGACCGTTTTCTTCTAAACTTTTATTAAATCTAGCAATATCAACTTTGACCCGCCGTGCTATTGTGGAATTAACGAAATTACAGCAGAGTGCGATTTCTGGAAATTCGTTGCCGCCGAATTTTCTGTCTTGGAAGAATGCCGTTTGTAAGGGAAGTATTCCGAGATTAAAATTTATCCCCATTCTATCAAGGATTTTTTTTATTTCAGTTGGGTAATTCCCTCTGCTACGGATATCTTGAGCTTCTCCTCGAAATTTAAATCGAATCCAGAGTTTTTTCAGGTCCGTACGACAACTGTCGACAATTTGCAGTTCTTCGAGCTGATCCTGATGATTAGATTTGACTCGATCGATCTCATCTCTCAGTGAATTAATTTCTGATGTAACGAAGTCAGTGTGTTTTATTTGGGTGGATGAGAAATGATTAACGAAAACGTTGTGGCGATCATTCATAGCATTTATCAAGTCCTTCGTTTTTTTGAATATTAACGTGAAATCAAGTTGGTCAGAGGTTGTTAGTTCATCGTATTCTCTTGTTAAGATGACTATTTCATTTTCTTTATCTTTTAAAGCATCCGATATACCGTCGGACACTGGCCGGTTCTGTGAAATTGGAGTTGAGGATTGCAACAAATGAGGAATTTTCCGAGTTTCATGGTAGCGAGCTGAAGATTTTTGATTATTTGCTTGGAGAAATTTTCGGATGTCGTTGGGCGGAGTTGATTTATTACTTTTGCCGAGGATAATGTTTTTGAATTTTGACTTTGGATTGGTAACATTTGCATATACCTTCTCAATATCCTCAGGGACTTTGCTATTAATTTGTTGAAATTTCCTGTTGGAGCTTTTATTTGTGCGGTTGGATGAATGCATAGTGTGCTCTTTATTATCAGGCTGACTTATTAGCTGAGATGTCTCAAGTTTTTAAATGAATTTTATATAAATTCAACAATTTTCAGTCAATATGACTTGTGTTTTTATGTGCTAATTCAATATGAACTCGATTTATTTAAGGTCAATATGACTAATTGATGGAATAAATTCAATATGAATTTTAATATAAGAAGTCAAATGAGTAAAAATAGAGTGTAAACAAGCTGGATAATTAAACTAAATAGTTTGTCGTTGTATTTCCTTATGAAAATAATTATTCACAAATTAAGTTGATAGTGGTCAAATTTCCAGGATCTTCAGGTAGCTGGATATGAAGATGTACCTTATGACTGTTCTTTGATGTACTATATGTGACTTAGTTTATTGATTTGATGCATAAAAACTTTGAAGAAAATAATCTCTATTGTGTTTTCTATTGTTTGGCTCTCATGTCACGTGGGAATTTGAAGTTATCTAATTTACTGTTTAATTAAATACAATCGACGTGTGACTCGATGCAATTTCGGTTCGATAGCTGGTTATAAGTGACTTCCAATTCTTAGCAAGCGTTAATAAGTTAAATTCAGCTCGGAAAATGATAAATAAATAGATTAAACACGAACACGTCTGACTCTTACAAATCTCGTTTCTTCTTATGACTTATGACTTAATAATGCTTCCAATTATTTCTATGATTTATCCTTTTGGTGTTGTGTTCTATTCCTCATATTTAGATGCCGATAAAGTCACTGTTTATTCAAAGAACAATGCTGATGAACAATATGTTGGGAAATTATCTATCTGCAGAAGGAAGCTTTACAATTGGTATTGATAAATCTTCAGGGCGTGGTACAAAGATTGTATTATACATTAAAGAAGATCAGAACGAATATTTGGAAGAATCTAAGATCAAGTAAAAAAAAAACGTCAAAGTTAAGTATAGAGTTAAGATGAGGAACTTAGCCAGACTTACAACTGAAGAACATAATTATTTCTACAAGAGCTCACAAAACGACTCGGAAGATCATTTAGCTGTTAAGCATTTCAGCGATGAATCCCAACTGGAATTCTTTGTATTGCTTTCTGTTCCGTGTCAAATCCCATTCGATTTATTTGAAGCTAAAAAGAAGAAGAATAACACCGAATTGATTGTTCGTCCTGTTTTCATTATGGACAATTGAAAAGATCTCATTCCTGATTATTAGAACTTTATAAAGGGTATTGTTGATTCCGAAGATTTACCACTAAACATCATTAAATGTCACAACAAAACAAGATTTTTCAAGTTATTCGTAAATTAATAAGCTTCATTACGGGTGAGAAAAAGAACATTCATGTTGTATTGTTACATGTCCTAAGTGGATGGTTCGTAAATGTTTTATGCAATAAATACTTAATTTAAATTTTGAATCTAAATATTTAATATTTTTTGCTTAACAATGGAACAAACAGGAACAAGCAATGAATAATTATTCGATGTGACTGATTAAATTGGACCGTTACTGACTGAAAAGTTAAAGTTAAATCTCCTTTACTAAGCGCTGATGATATACTAATTAGCATATAATAAAAATTATGTTAAATTTTTGAAATCAATTTTCTCTAAGGCTATAGATCTGTAACTCTATATTCCAACGATTTCAGCCCTTTATGTCCTTCCATCAGATTCAGCATGTGAGAACTTTTGACTTTAAATTAATCATTATTTAAATACATTGATTCATTTTGAATGAAAATCGCGACCTGCTTTATACTTTATGAAGTGATGATAATTAATCTTCAATCTGATTATAAGCTTCAATTTAGTACACTTTAAGCTTTTGTTTGATTTATGACAAGATTTAACTCTTCAAAATTAAGCAAACGATTTTAATTTAATTAAAGAGTTTGAAAAATTCATAAGCTGAATTCAACTTTCGACATGTTTTTCCCGTAAAAAGTTCTGCAATTCCTAAATGACACCCACAAAATCTGCTTCATTTTATAAATTTCTTCATCAGCAAACACAAAAAAAAAATGACGAAGCAGCATTTGAAAAAATCTTCTTTTTTTGAATTCTTCAAATTCAAAACATTGAAAAAAATATTTTAAATGAAGAAAATCTTGGAATGAAGGAGGAAGAAGACATAAAACCAGATGAAATGTAAGATGACTCCATATTAAAGGACAAAGGAAACAACACAGGATTACAGAGTTAAATGGCAATGAGGTTTACGATGACGATTTACGAAGAAAAAGTGAACTTAAAAGAGCAAACAAGCATGTATGAGACCATGAACGAATGAAAGGAATCAAGCTCAAAGTAAGTAATTGCTACTTTAATTCTTTATGAAACTGCTTCACCACTATGATCCTTGCGTAATCTTGAGAATACTACATCTCACTTTTATATTTTCTTCTTTTAACACGAAAAGTGGAACTGCTGAAAAATCTGATTTGAATTGCTTTTCAGACTTTCTCTCACTTTTTCTCCTTGATAACCGTTCTTTTCAATTTAATTTTTTCCAGTTCAGCACCAATTTTAAACTTTACGCTTGAACTTGAAAAACTTACATTTGGAGAAAAAATGCAGCATAAGCAAAAGTTTGGAAGTTAAAAATTGACCAACGAATTGAAACTCTTCAAATGTTAATGGAGCATTTTAAATGATGAAGATGAAGACAGCTCAATTCCAAGCAATTGATGATGAAGATAATAAAGGAAGTGAATTCAGCGACAATTGTCAAGAGTCAATGGAACAACTTCACGTTGATAATAAATACAGTTTAGAAGATGAGGATGAAGTCAGCTCAATAGCAAGCTAGCTCAAAAACAAACAGATTTGATGAAAATATCAAACCAATCAAGACAAAAAACGTGCAAAATTATCCATATCGCAAAGATTATATCCAATTTTATCAGATCAACGGCAGATTCACAAGTTCTAAGAAGAATGCCTATAAAAATGAAGAACCAGATAAGGAATATGGCTGTGCAAATAAAACTGCAAAGCTAAAAGGATCTTCCATGGACCTTCAATGAAATTGAAGAATGGACAACATTTTGAAAGGATCGTGAAACATTTCAGGAAACAGACTCATGTGTGAACAAGGAAACAAGCTCAAATTAAGTAATTGCTACTTTAATTCTCTATGAAAATGCATCACCACTATGATCCGTCTGTAATCTTGAGAATACTCCATCTCACTTTTATATTTTCTATTAATTGCTTCTTAGACTTTCTCTCACTTTTTCTCCTTGATAACCGGTCTTTTTAATTTAATTTTTTCCAGTCCAGCGCCAATTTCAAGCTATTTTTTGATACAGGAATTTTCACATCGACTGACTAGCTGGTCATTAAGCAAGACGAATCACCAGCTTCAAGTTCTTCATCCGCCATGTCTGCAAGAAATCGATTTTTAACTCATCATTTACGACAACAAAAAGTAAGTCAACACGAGATTTTAACTTAAATAATTTTTTTTCTTCCATTTTTAGAATATTTACAATATCAAAAATAGGAATCGCCCCAAAGTCCTGTCCAAAATATTTTTCAAGAGTTGGAAAACTTACATTTTGGAGAGAAAATGCTGCAAAAAGGTTTCTGATCTTAATCGGGCAACAAAAGCAACACAAGCCAATTAGATGTAGCCATAATGTTAAGTTCATGAAGAAGAGGCTGCATATAAACCAATTTCATGACTTGAACAAAATAAGCAGCTGGAAGTAAGCTATAGATTGAGTCTTATTTGCCCAAATATTAACAAAGGTCCATCACATAGCAATTAAACCTACAACTACAAGCTGGAAATTTTCAAAACAGGAATTCTCACACTATCTGAATTGATAGTCATTGAACAAGATAAATAGCCAGCTTCAAGTTCTTCAATCGCCCTGTCTGCAAGAAATTGTTTTTAAACTCATCATTTACGACAACAAAAAGTAAGTCAATACGAAACTTTAACATAAATATTTTTTTTTCTTCCATTTTTAGGATATTTTCATTATTAAAAATAGGAATCGCCCCACCGTCCTGCCGAAAATTTTTTCGGCACTTGGAAAACTTAAATTTTGAAGAAAAATGCTGCAAAAAGGTTTCTGATCTTAATTGGATGACAAAAGCAACACAAGCCAATTAGATGTAGCCATAATGTTAAGTTCATGAAGAAGAGGCTGCATATAAACCAATTTCATGACTTGAACAAAATAAGCAGCTGGAAGTAAGCTATAGATTGAGTCTTATTTACCCAAATATTGACAAAGGTCCATCACATAGCAATTAAACCTACAACTACAAACTGGAAACTTTCGAAACAGAAATTCTCACACTATCTGGATTGATAGTCATTGAACAAGATTAATAGCCAGCTGCGAGTTCTTCAATCGTCCTGTCTGCAAGAAATTGTTTTTAAACTCATCATTTACGACAACAAAAAGTAAGTCAATACGAAACTTTAACATAAATATTTTTTTTTCTTCCATTTTTAGGATATTTTTATTTTTAAAAATAGGAATCGCCCCACCGTCCTGCCCAAAATTTTTTTCGGCACTTGAAAAACTTAAATTTTGAAGAAAAATGCTGCAAAAAGGTTTCTGATCTTAATTGGATGACAAAAGCAACACAAGCCAATTAGATGTAGCCATAATATTAAGTTCATGAAGAAGAGGCTGCATATAAACCAATTTCATGACTTGAACAAAATAAGCAGCTGGAAGTAAGCTATAGATTGAGTCTTATTTGCCCAAATATTAACAAAGGTCCATCACATAGCAATTAAACCTACAACTACAAGCTGGAAATTTTCGAAACAGGAATTCTCACACTATCTGGATTGATAGTCATTGAACAAGATGAATAACCAGCTTCAAGTTCTTCAATCGCCCTGTCTGCAAGAAATTGTTTTTAAACTCATCATTTACGACAACAGAAAGTAAGTCAATACAAAACTTTAACATAAATATTTTTTTTTCTTCCATTTTTAGGATATTTTCATTATTAAAAATAGGAATCGCCCCACCGT